CACTGTTTTTGTGCACAGTCCCTGAGACAAAGAGTAAAACTAAACTAAATAACTGTGCCAGAAGTTTACAACACAAATTATAATTGTTTTAAGTATTTAGTAAGATATGCAAATATAATATCAGATAAATTCACTTTCTGAATAAAAAGAAACAGCCTACAGTAGAAACAGCATTTCATTATATGGTACCCACACACAGAGAGAAGTATAAATACAGTATAAGTGCCAAACCAGTCAAAACATACAATGGGGTAACTCTCATGACCTTCAGTACAGCAAACACATCAATTCCAGGCACCACAACAAAACTCCTCTTTACATTTTTAATACCTTGAGCAACTAAGAATGAACGGGGATTATCACACAAAGGTTTGTTCATCACTGTGACCTTAAGTGGTTGGGATCATTAAAACAGATCATGAAACACATCCTCGTGTTTTCCTCTGCATTCCTACACAGCCACATCATTAACTACTACTGCAGTGGGGTAACATCAAAATCTTTCTGAGACATTATTCCAGAGTAAAGCCCGATTCCCACAGACCTGAACGGGGCCGTAACAGAGATTCTGAAAGAGCTGCTTATTAGCTCATGTCTCTCCCTTTGAGGTTTGACAGGATGTAGGAGGGGAAGAAGCAGGGATGAAATGGCTCCTGATTAGACGCTGCCTATCCTGTCCAGTGAACAGTAAGGAGTAGTGACTGTGTAAGACACTACTGCAGCTGTTGTGGAGTCAGCAGCAATAAGGAGAAGCATTACAGAGATTGTATCCGTCTCCATTTTGATTTCAGAGTGATGGTTACAGTGCGGGGATGGATTTGCTGAGTGATGGGGCGATGACTCAGTTCACAACACAAGCCTCATACGTTTGCTTTGGACAGGTCAATAAACTGGGTGCACCTATAAGGGCTCAACAAATAACAAAGGTAGAAATATGGGGGTGTGACCAAACCTTCTGTTTATGTATCGAGTTTCCTTTGACTAATCAAGGTTACATCTGCATAGTAACTACAAAAGAGTGACAAAAATCCTTCTATAATTTCAGTGGTTTTAGTTTATTGAGAACAAATTTCAATTGCTTACTTTGTTTCGACACCACAAGTTGGACATCCTGTTGCTATAACAACCTCTGCTGACAGAGCTCTGCAGCATGTGCTGTTTAGCTGACATTAAATATACCAAGACAACATATTCAAATTTAAAACTCAGATTTGTAAAGGATCAAGCTCTGGAAAAAGGCCTTTACAGTTTGCAGTTTTTATTTAATGAAATGAAATGATGTTATTTTAAGTATAATCCTAAGTTTATCTTCACCTGCCTCTTGCATCCTCAGTTCTATGTGTGGCAGAGAGGAAAACACACAGTGCATCACCAATGGACTGGCCAGAGACCGGACTGACCAGACAGCCAGCTTTATGTATGTTTGATTATGAGGCAGTCAGTTTCAGGCAAACAGTCGTCACGCAGCCACATGCTAACAAGTGGTTAGCATGGAAGCTCCTCACTGTGATTGAAGACACCATTTTGCCAGGGTAAATCAGAGGGAGACCACCTCAAAAATGAAACGATACCCTACTTAGATACTTGTATCACCCTCACGCAGCTGACACATGGACTTTTCAAAGAAGCTTACAAAGAAAAAGGTGCTAAAGCTAAAGCTATCCAGGGCTCACAGGCGGCCAGCAGCCTCGGTATGAGCAACGTATCAAAATCGTTACAAGGATGACTGAAAAAGATTTTTAAAAAGTTGATGGCTTGTAAATACTGAACTGAAGCCTGACTCACTGTAAAAAAACCAAACCAAACCGGATTTTTTTCCCAAAAATTATTTTTTTCGGATTCTTTTGGCCTTGTTTTTCCCCTTTATTTGAAATGTTTTTTTTCCAAATTTTTTTTCTTGCCTTTTTTTTGGTTGTTTCCCGGCTTGGGGGGGTTGAAAAAAAAACCCAGCCTGATTGAACAGGAAATAAAAAGACTCCAACACACAGCTGACAACTGGTTAATAAATGCTAACCACGAACACGACCACAAACAGTTTGGTTAGAGCAATGTCCAATGTTAGAACAGGTTCATCATACCACAGCTAATTTGACCCAATTTATTTGTGTGTTGAACTCTTTTTCATGACAACGTGAAGAGCAGCACATATTACACAGAATCTAATCATTTTACTTCTCATTTTCATAAGCGAGAATCGAGTACACAGCACATCTAAATAGTCAAATCAGAAGTAAAAGGACTTGTATGTCACTTCCTGGACTCTAGTATCTTACCGTGAGAGTCATCTAGCGAAGTGCTGATGGATGTGGTTAACAATGTTTCATCACATCCTTAAATTGTGCCTGACTGTGTTTCAATGTAGTTATCCAAGTCACAACCCTAACCCTCCATGCAGAAGTGGCAGCCACAGAAGCCCATAGTTGGCTCCATTTATCTTGGAGCTCACGGTTTTGCAGGTTTCTACAGCACATCGACATAACCGACACCATAAATGCTGACTACACTGGCCTCCATGTTTACGTCAGTGCACCATGTGTTGCTATTGCTCTTTTGCAGATGTGCCAGCCCATCCTTGAACCTGACAAAGGCCACAT